CAGTGTTCAGTGCTTTGAGTGAATATGCAAGTTTTCACATGTCCACAGAAGGTGTCAATCATAGATTTATACATGTTGACATGTTGCTGCTTGTTAGAATACATGACTTGTGACATATGCAAAAAACAGTACAGAGATTTGAGATGTAGATCATATGATTTTTAAATTGATGTGATGTTTTTATTAATATTAAATATTTGGTTGAAATTAAAATATATATAGACCAACCATCTTGGAATTTAAAAAAAATAAAAACAAAAATTCACTTTCAAAAGGAACAATGTTTAGAATATGTAGAATATTAAATTCATACTGTAACTATTCCAGCTGAATACAATACATTTGCTTCATACTATTGATTAGTTAGCTTTGTTAGAATTTATTTTTTTCAGTTTGGAAAAAATGGCAACAAAAGTTCTCAATAAAACTACACAATATCTTCCATATCCCCCAATCTTTTTGTTGATAAGTGGTCATTTCTAAAAAAATCACTGCACACATTACCTGTGTTGAAAGATGGTGTATTACCGCTATAGAAATAACAGCGTCACAACTATTATCCCGTATTGGTACGGACAAAGCATCGCATGTAAACGCTTCATAATCTCTTTGTCTACAAATTTCCACTAGATTAGAACTTCTATCACAGCCAATCTGAAAGTAAACGTTATTCAAGTCGTTAATTCAAGTTCTCACTTTATAATAGTAGCGTTCACACACAGCTCCTTAGCATGTGCTAAGAAAACTAAGTACGGATTAAATCTGACCTGTTTTTAAGACTCGGCCTAGAGCCTTAGCACAGGATAACGAAGCATGGGTAAACGCTTAGCATGGGCTGAATGCCCAAAACTCTGTTGTATTCAATGTTCATTTGAAATATTTTCTATTATTTAGGCCATTTCCGACATGGCAATCAAAGGGAACACACGTAGAGAAATTTTTCTTATACGATTTAGGACTGTGGGGGCTGAATGATCAGCAGTAGGAGGCCAACTCACAGGGCTAGTGCAGGTAATTATAATTATATAGTAAGTATCAAACTGTAAGAAATCATATTAGAAGGAATCGTTAGGGTGCTCTAGTTGACAACACTGCATTCTTGCCAAGTATTCTGTACTCAGACCAATTTCCAGGTCCCTATTATAATAAGAAAACTTAGCACGGGCAAAGTACGGATTAATCTGGCCCATCTTGTCCAGAGCCTTAGCATGGGCTAACAAATCATGGGTCATCATTGGCTAAACACTTTTCTATTATATTCATAACTATTCATTTCGGTATGCCATTTTTGTTTATTATTAATAAGTTTTGGCGTTTCTTAGACCGTGCTAACCATTGTTCCCTCCCTTGCGTGAACCCAATTGGGTCCATTCGATAAGCAAACATATGATATTAGCTTAAGTCTTAGCCCGTACTTTGTGTAGACTGAACACTACAATTATATGCACTAAATATTGTTTGTGTCCATACAGGGATATGTGATGAAGATCTAAATTTGATGGAATTTCATTTACATATCATTAATCCGGTATTACACCAGAGAATGACATGATCGCTCATTAGCAACCAAGGGATAGTTCAATTTTGGAAATAGGAATGAGTGAGTATATCACCGTATATACATTATAAACAGCCTGGAATTTTCTCAAGATATTGGGATCATCTAACACTTAGCTCAAACTCAAATGGGATCTTCATTCATATCACACATGTTCTATGTCCTTAATATTTATCCTTGGTGAAACATATAAATTGACTTACTTGAAATATAGATGTATTGATCCCCAAATATTTACCATTTCCACAGCCTGTTAAACAATATATACACAGGACTTTATGTCAAAAACTATTACACATACATGAATTACAAAAATGTACAAAAGGGTTTATTTGTTTGGCAGAAACAATAAGTACAGAAATGGTATTAGGCATTCTAGAGCTTTGAAGAAGCATTTTGTGGAGGCCATCTACAGGCTTAAAGCAGAAAGGGTCAATACTGCCAAATGACCAATGTTCTTGAGATAATAATGTAACAAGATTTATTCACAGTCGCACATGATGCATGTTAGTCGGACACAGAGTCCTGCTTTTTCTTCTCTGCAGATGTATTATATAGTTTAAAAATGTTGAATAAGTTCTGAGAATCCCTTCAACTTAAGTAGTAATAAGTTAGTTGTAAAAATCATGCGTTTGATTGAGAAAAGAACTAAACAAACAAACAAACAGACAAACAGACAAACAAAGCAAGCAACAAAGAAATCATAATAATACGCACCAATGTCAGCAAAAATCGATCCATTTGGTAATTGGTTTATAAACTTAGTAACTTTAGGCCACTGTGAATGTCTGGTGTCACTAAAATGTGTAGCAATGGTTTCATACACTTTATGTACATGTTCTGCCTCTAAAGCCGAGGCTTGGTCATCAGATTTAGGCAATAACCTCTCTTTTTCCTTCATTTCCTTTTGTTGAGAGTCGCACTGTGCGGGAAAATCTATAAAAATCAAGATAGAGAGAATTACATTGAAAATGACACTTACCATAGAATTCACCAAATGATTCAAAGGTGTGCTACGGTGTGCTACCATTAAAACATGCAAAAAATTGATCACAGTAAATCATTCAAAAAATATTGTTTGATGATTCACATACATGCACTTCTTTCATATTTAATGTTTTTATAGCAAAGAAGGAAAGAAAACGTATGCAAAAGCAGCCATTTTAGAACATTTTCCGTAGAATTCCATGTAAACACATTAATTTCCATGGATAACTTGTACTATAATATTCAAGAAAATTCTTCCTCATAACCCTACATATAATTTTTTGACCATATATTTTTACTTCAGAATTCTGGATAATACAGTACTCAACCCCTCTTGCTGGATTTCAAAAATTTTTGAGTATATATTTTTTAATGGTAACAAACTACCCTAATATAAAGTGTTAAAAAGAATCCCGGATATGAAGATAATGTATTAACTGTAATTGTTAATTTTCCAATTTGTATTAAATACAAAGTCCATCAGTATGGTACTGTAAAAGTCCTAATATAAACCGCATATGTAATAATAACCGCACTTCCAATTCCGGCTTCAGGGTTAAATAATTCTTAACAAAAATTTAAAACATGAAAAGTACCTCATACTTACTGCACCCCCAATTAAACAAGACTGTGACTGACTACATTGTTGGTCCAAAACGGCATTACTAGTATTCCTAATCTTAATCAATCGTTTTGACCACATGCCCAAAAAATATTCACAGCTAGCGATTGTTCAGCGGTGATAAGATGTCACATACTGAAACAGTTTTTGTTCTGGCGGCAACCTTTGACAATACACCTAATGAGTACGTCCATGTTTCGTAAGTTTTCAACAATAAGCCGGTATTAATGTAAAAGTGTTAAATTCTCCTCAGTTCATCTTTTGAAAAAAAACTTATTTCTTGATTCGAAAAAAAATCATGCCGTTTTCCCATTCTGTCACAATAAACATCATACTCTTGAATAGGCGTCAATGACTACGGTAAAACTTAAATTATACTCTATTTTAGGTATCAGGAATGATGGAAAATATTCTTTTAAAAATGTTGAAAAAATGCCCCAATTTCTTGGTCCCATTTTATTTTTTTTTTAAAAACCAAAACTGCCGTTTAACAGCCCAGGGCAAATTTACGGCAGAATCCGGTACTATAAAAATGTTAAGATTGTTACACGAACATGTCGATGCTATGTCATCATTCTTTATGTTTCAATAAAAGTGATGTCATCATGTTTTTGTATTTCAGTGAAAGTAATGTTATTATTCATGATGTTGACCTACCACAATCACAAGGTGCATGTCTTATAGCACGAAATGTAAATGATGTTCTCAGTGTCCGTTTGGTTAAAGTCAGTCCAGTGTCTGTATCAGCTGGAGCCACGTCATGCTTCCTTGGTGTTATCCTAAACATAGTAAATGAAAAAACCTTAAAATTATAATAAGTCAATGTAAATTTTAACAAGTCATGCATGGCACAGTCCCTGTTAGTTATCAAATTTAAGATGTATAGTTTTGTTTATAGTAATATAGCTGGAATATAAACATGTCAGGAATATGATTATGATGATTTTTTAACATTAAAATGATTGACATTTGTATCTGATCAACAATCTAGTACTTGTCCATATTGAGAGATATTGTGTATTATTATAATAACATAGAATTGTATCAATGATACATATCTTTTTATATTGCATATTTTGGCCAATGTAATACAGCAATTGTATATTTTTATAAAATTGTTTAGTCTTTCCTTTTTCTGGTTTATTTAGATATCACATTCCTGAAACGAGGACATGCTTTCAGCCTTATATATTATTATCGGTATTATTATTAATTTGTGAAAAAATTGAAAAAGAGGAAAATATCATACATACCATATTTGAGAAAAAATATATAAATCAATACACTAGAGTATCTGTGGCATACACATATAATTCACAATCTAGGAGGAAGTGAATTTCATTCTAGCATGTAATCTTTTCTTCCTCTTCCACGCTTTTACCTAATTTGATTTTCAAATTATGGTTACAATTTTGTCAAAATTCCTCTCATGTTGTAGTCTTTTTTTTCATGCAGGCATTTTCCCAAAGTCTGTTTTTATTAATCTGAAAGTTGGTAATTTGTTTCCCTCATTTTGACAGATATTTATTTATTCCTTCCTTCCAGGACTATTTATATTCAATCATTTTTTAGTAGATTGATATATTTTCTATCTTGTACTATGAACACAACAAACCCATTTCCTTTATTTTTACAAACATTTATAAATTTTATTGACAGTTGAATCCAACCTGCCAATCAATGCACAGTGACATTATTTGTAATTGTTCCAATGTTATTCTAAAATTTGAATTATTTCACTTTGAATTGTGAAATATTTATTAAAATAAACGGGACGGGACAGGATGGGATCATTTCTAACCAAGATTTTTTCAAAATTGTGTTGCCAGTTTGTATTATATTGATACATACATTTACAATAAAAGCAATAAATTGTTTTCTGACAGCGTGTTTATGTACATACCCATGTGTCCATAGATATCTACTTTCTCCTGTCATAACCAGTAAACTCCTCTGTGGAACTAACACTGGTATATGCTGTCCATTAGGATGCTTAAAATCCATAATAACCTGACGGAAAAGGAAAAAAGTCATTTCTCATTTTCCTAAATATATAGAAAGATACAGAACGATATGAGTCATTATCAAGTGTCATAGTGTAGCAAAGTGTTGGGTTCAACTGTTGAAAATGATGAATGAACAGATTCAACAGGTGTCATCCTGGGCTAGTCTAGGGTTGTGTTTAACCCTGGGATGAGATGTGTGTGAACATTTCTGGGTTAAAACAATGTACTGTAATGTCAATCCAATGGTAGGTGAATACAGGTAGGTAATGTAAACTAATGCAATATATACATGTATCCTTGCATTGAAATAGCCCTCTATTGTATCCTTGCATTGAAATAGCCATCTATTGTATCCTTGCATTGAAATAGCCATCTATTGTATCCTTGCATTGATATAGCCCTCTATTGTATCCTTGCATTGAAATAGCCATCTATTGTATCCTTGCATTGAAATAGCCATCTATTATATCTTTGCATTGATATAGCCCTCTATTGTATCCTTGCATTGAAATAGCCATCTATTGTATCTTTGCATTGATATAGCCCTCTATTGTATCCTTGCATTGATATAGCCCTCTATTGTATCCTTGCATTGATATAGCCCTCTATTGTATCCTTGCATTGAAATAGCCCTCTATTGTATCCTTGCATTGAAATAGCCATCTATTATATCTTTGCATTGATATAGCCCTCTATTGTATCCTTGCATTGATATAGCCATCTATTGTATCCTTGCATTGAAATAGCCCTCTATTGTATCCTTGCATTGAAATAGCCATCTATTATATCTTTGCATTGATATAGCCATCTATTGTATTCTTGCATATATAGCCCTCCATTGTATCCTTGCATTGAAATAGCCCTCTATTGTATCCTTGCATTGAAATAGCCATCTATTGTATCTTTGCATTGTTATAGCTCTCTATTGTATCCTTGCATTGAAATAGCCCTCTATAGTATCCTTGCATTGATATAGCCATCTATTGTATCTTTGCATTGTTATAGCTCTCTATTGTATCCTTGCATTGAAATAGCCCTCTATTGTATCCTTGCATTGAAATAGCCATCTATTATATCTTTGCATTGATATAGCCCTCTATTGTATCCTTGCATTGATATAGCCCTCTATTGTATCCTTGCATTGATATAG